CCCCAGCACCCGCGCCTACAACACAGAGAAGACACAGACTTGCTCCTGGGACACTGCAGTGGTTGGGTGGTGACCTCAGAATGTTGTTCTTTTTTAAAAGACTGATTTGTTTGAAAGAGTTAGAGAGTGAGTGACAGGGCTCTTCCATCTGCTCGTTTACTGCCCAAGTGGCCATCATGGTTGGGGCTGGGCCAGGCCAGAGCCAGCAGCCAGGAACTCCATCTGGGTCTCCCATGTAGGTGGCAGGGACCCAAGCACGTGGGCATCTTCTGCTGCTGTCCCAGGTGCATTAGCAGGGAACTGGATCAGAAGCAGAGCAGCCAGGACTGTAACCAGTACTCATAGGGGTGTCAGCGTTGCAGGCAACAGCTTAACTCGCTGTGCCACAAAGCTTCCAGAATATTCATGGGCAGCAATTGTTCTTGCCTTTTTTCTTTAAAGATTTGTTTATTTGAGAGGCAGGGTTACAGAGAGAGGGTGAGAGACAGAGAGCGAGGTCTTCTGTCTGCTGGTTCACTCCCCAAATGGTCTCAACTGCCAAAGCTGGGCTGATCCAAAGCCAGGAGCCAGGAGTTCCCATGTGGGTGCAGGGGCCTAAGCACTTGGGCCATCTTCCACTGCTTTCCCAGGCCATAGCAGAGAGCTGGATTGGAAGTACAGTGGCCAGGACTCAAGCTGGTGCCCATATGGGATACCAGTGTCACAGGTGGAGGCTTAACCCTATACGCCACAGCATCAGCGCCTGTTCTTGATTTTTGAACACAAGTTTATGAAATAGGATGTGTTGTTTTAACTACGTAGTATGTAGAGCAAGGGTGTTGGGTGATGGGGTACATTTTGCCTGCTGATGGCATTTGTGTATATTGCTCTCATGTACTCCTCCCTGGATAAACAGAGGTGAAGTTTAGCTGTAGGTGAGATTTAGATGTTATGTTTAAAAGCTGTAGTAGGGTCAGGTCAGAAATTTGCTTCCTGCCAAATGAGCATTTTATTTTTATTTTTATTTTTTTGACAGAGTGGACAGTGAGAGAGAGAGACATAGAGAAAGGTCTTCCTTTGCCGTTGGTTCACCCTCCAATGGCCGCCACGGCTGGCGCACTGCGGCTGGCGCACTGTGCTGATCCGAAGGCAGGAGCCAGGTACTTACCCTGGTCTCCCATGGGGTGCAGGGCCCAAGGACTTGGGCCATCCTCCACTGCACTCCCTGGCCACAGCAGAGAGCTGGCCTGGAAGAGGGGCAACCGGGACAGAATCCGGCACCCCGACCAGGACTAGAACCCGGTGTGCTGGCGCCACAGGCGGAGGATTAACCTAGTGAGCCGCGGCGCCAGCCAAATGAGCATTTTTTTTAAAGCCCTGCATGTCCAGCCTTTATGAGTCTTAGCATGAGCCTCAGTTGCAGTTTTCTGCTGCAGTTGTGTTTCCAAGGCCCGCTGGGCACTGCTCATCCTCGGGTCTGTGTGGCAGGAGGGCCAGCTCGGTGTGTAGCAGGCTCCTCCACTGAGAACGCCGAGGCTCCTCTGCTCAGAGTGCGGGTGCCAGCACCTCCTTCAGCCGGCACGCTCAGGGCAGAGGGTTAGGCAGGCCTGGAATGGATTTTTGCTGTGTTTGGGGTATTTTTGTTTGTTTTGTGTGCCTTATGCCGTACAGGGAGCTTCTGCTTGTCCTCTCTCGCTGTCACAGCCCCAGCCTGAGCAGGCCCTGGGGTGACAGCCTCCAGGCAGTGGTCAGCACCGTGGCTGTCTGGGCATGTGTCTGTCTCCTCCCTTCTATCCCACGTACCCCACCACCCACCACCACACTCGGCAGGATGACAGTGCTGCTGGAGTGCTGGGGAGGGTCAGGACAGTGGCAGGGGCCTGGGACGACCCGCTGGGGCAGGGCCTCCTCACAAGGCCCAGCCTGGCCTGGCAGAGGCCAGCCAGGCCAGTGGCAGGGAGTGAGGCACGGAAGGCTGGGCTGTGGGGCAGAACGCCTGGAGAGCTGCTGCTTCACCCTCCCTTTTAATCAAGGCCCCTCCCAAGTTGCTCTCCAGCGCCAGCCAGCAAAGAGGTGCCCACACAAGTTCGCGTGTTTTGTGTGGATTTGCTGAGTATAGCTCAGGCGGCCTTCAGGGAGCCCTGCAGCTCGCTCCTGGGCCAGTATTTCATGGAAATCCAGTGACCTGGGCTCCCGGAGCAGCGTGGCAGGTCATGTGGCCTGGCAGGGACGGGGCTCCGATTAGTGACAGGTCACGCTGGCCTTCGCTGTTTCCCTGTCCTTGGAGGTGAGCGCTTCTGGTCCTAATACCCTGTCCCCATCCCTCTCTGTCTCTCGGCTCTGTAGCTGCATTAAACAAGAGCATGTTTGTTTTCTGCCGGTAACATGCTCTTGAATGGTCAGAGTGTAGATGTAGGGTTGATGCGCCAGGGGGCGAGTGGATTTGGCTCCGTGTAAAAGGGTGAAAGCATGGTGGGGCTCTGGATGATAGTGGCGGGGCCAGAGCCCCAGTTCAGCAGACCAGCTCTGTGCCCTTTACGTTCTCGGCTCCTCCGGGCACCGTCTCCTGTGACCCTGTGTGGGGAGGACGGGTGATTCCCAGTGAATGGTGTGGAAGTGTTGAGGCCGGCCTAGCTGAGCCCAGTCGTAACTCTGCTTGTGCTGCGGGACTGTGCTCACCACCGACGTTGAGCACGGCCGTCCTCCACAGCAGCCTGGACTCAACTCTCCGTGCCCGGCTTGGCTCCCAAGTGGGATCAGAGCGTAATTGAAAGTTGGTGACACCCGCAGTGACTTCTGGAAACAGCTCTGTGGGTACCAGGAAGAGAGGATGTGATTCATCCCACCCACCTGGCGTTCCCTCCTTCCCCCGTCTGCCAGCCCCTGTAACCCACTCCAGATGCCGACAGCAAAACGCATGTAGCCATTGGCCACCGTCTCTGGGACAAGTTCCACCTCGTAACTTCCTTTAGGGAAGGATCCTGTCTGGAAGAGAAGTGAGCCTAATTTTTGCCATCTGATAACCTCGGTGCAGCAGCTTGGAAAGTTAGCCTTCTCAAGGCCCCACGGACGTTTCCCCAGTGAATCACGGCGCCGCATAGTACAACTGCCACCAGTGCTGCCCCCCACATCCAGCTGCTGTTGGATAGTTCTCAGCTTTCAGAAGTCACAGCTAAGTGTCAGGGTGTGTCTGACAGGTGCATAGAACCCGAGCAGAGGAATATTACGTTTTTGGCTGGATGAAGAATCTGGGTGGCGAGAGACGATTTCAGGGGGCGTTGCTGTGGTTGTCACCCGTTTCCTTCCTTGGCAGACACAGCGGGCTGCCTCTCGCTGGTAGAAGGCGGTCTAAGCAGACAGTGGAGCCTCTCCCCTCCGCCCCAGGCTGCCTGAACCACTGAGGTGGTGGGAAGCTGAGCCAGGAGCTGTTCATTCCAGGGGCCACGCACTTCCTGTTGCTTTTACTCAGCCTGCACTGTTCAGGGGGAGACAAGCGCCCCCAGGGCCTTCTGAAGCATCCCGGGGTCGTGTGTGTGTGTGTGTGTGCGCGTGCGTCCGGAAGTACAGCACTGGTCACAACAATGTCCGCAGACAGAACCGAGCCAGCCTGCTTGTGCCCCTGCCCCAGGCCCGCCCCGGCAGCAGCTTCTCCCGCACCAGGTGGGCTCGGCTCTGAGCAGATGATTTTGCTCGTTAGATGGAGGCACATATTGAGGCTGTCCACGCTGCTTCTGTGGAATCCTTTAGGAGAAAGACAACTGGTATCCAGTATCTCAAGTAATGAACTTATCAGTAACTGTAACACATGAGCTCATTAATCTTAACTTTGCTTTTGGACCAAGTGGGAGCTCAGCTTCTCGGGAGACACAGATTTCATCTCTGTTCTCCTTAAACTCATTCCCAATTTAGAGTCAAACCTGCTGCCCTAGTCTCCCCGGGCAGCCGTTCATCGTGTGTGCTCGCACAGCGTGCGCCCCGGCCTGGCTGCTCGGGCCCCGCTGGCTTGCACGCAGGCTGTGCACGGTTGCAGGCAAACCCTAAGGCTCCGGAGACTCATGGCCCTGGCCACTTAGTCTTCAGTCGACTTCCGTTCTCAAATCACAGCCTCTGTATCTCCAGAAAGACAAGATGAGAACGTGGGGATGGATGAGTCACGGTTGGTGCGGGGCGCCCACCATTCTCTAGGGCTAGGTCTGGGCTTAGGAAGTGAGTGGGGAGCCGGATGGCTGGGGCAGGCTGTTCCCAAAGTCCAGGGGGGAGAAGGGATAGGAGCAGGTTTGGAGTCACCTGGAGGTGTTGCCAGATGCAGAGGTGGTGAGGAGCGCCCGTGTTGTGCTGCTCGCCCGCCCGCCCTGGGAGGGCCAGGCGGCCGCCGCGGGCTCAGGGGTCTGTGCTGCCTGCACCTCTCAGCCTGCCTTGGAAATGGACGGGGAGGCAGGAAGGGAACGGGCCACCGCTTGATGCAGCTTCGTGCTGCCTCCCTGAGGCCCAGAGGAGCTTCACCTGGACTGCAGGCCTCCCCTCAGCCCTGCGCCCTAGCCAACGGGCAGTCTTGATGTTTGCCAAGCCATCGGCCTCTGCAGCGGCCGCCCTCAAGGTGGAGAGAGAAGCATCAGGCTCGCTCCTGTGCTGCGTGTGTTCCCTCTCCCGGCGCTTGAGAGCATGCATTTTGCTTTCAGACCCCCACTCTGGTGGGCTGAGGTTTGATCACTCCCACCACCCCTGCCAGGAGCAAGAATGTAATTTAGGTCCTAACCGTTTCTCTCCCACCTCGCCTCCTGGGAGCGGTGGTGTCCAGGGACGGGTCACGGCCCATTTGTTCCCAGGAGGGGGGCTGTGTTGCTGCAGCGGTCATGCTGGGGTCCACCCTCAGAGCCGGCAGGGCAGGTTCTGGGCAGCCCCTGCCTGTGAGCCGCTGGCCCTCTTGTCGTGGGGAGGGACTCGGGGTCCTGTGCTCAGGGCCGGGGCGAGGCGTGGGGCATTGGGCACCCTGACTCTGTCTGCTCTCTCCCGCCCTGCAGGTTACGTGTTCTGTATGTTGCATCGCCTCCCCGAGCAGCACGGCTGTACCTTTGACCACATGGGCCGCGGCCGAGAGGAAGCCATCATGAAAATGGTGAAACTGGACCGGAAAGTGGGGCGCTCCTGCCAGCGCATCGGGGAGGGGTGCTCCTGAGGGCCCGCGCGGCCGCCACGCGACGCTGTTCTTAGTTCACTAATGTTAGCCTTACGTAGGACAACGTCAGCCAGACACCTTGTACTGGGCACGCGGCAGACTGCAGCCAGTCCATTTCCTGTCCTTAGCCAGCCATCCTGGTACTGTAGTTTAGGGGTTGATGGTGGTTGAAATTGATTTCTGGCTGGTTACTAAGGTGCCTGCTAGCCATTGTATAAAATTAAAACATGAAGAATATTTTTTTTTGAGCATGGCTAGTGGACTTAAAGCAACACCACATACCTGTCACTGCTGGAGTCCAACTGAATACGCCTTAAGCGGAGAGCGCTCCGGCCGGAGCCGCGGAGGCCACCGAGGAGCGGCGCGGGGGAGCGCCCACGACGCACACGGCTTTGCCAGGAACTCTGTTTAGTGTTCGGCCTTTCACCTCTTCACTTGTCCTTAGTCCCAGTAGCCAGGAGACCTGATGGCCATGTGTGCCTTGGCCACAGGGGGCTACTGAGATTGGCCGGGCTGGGTGGTGGCCTTGCTCTCCCACAGAGCTGGAAATGGGGGTGGGGACAGATTCTTAGAGAATTTTTTTTACCTGACTTGCTAAGAAAAAACTCATCACACAAGAAGAGAAACCGTAACCTCACTTTGAAAATTAGCTCCACTCAAGACTAGTCCACGCCCGAGACCCACCTTTTCTACACAGGATCCGTGGTCACGAGCAGCCGCCAGCGTGCGCCAGTTGCCAAGTGCAGGGATCTGGCCGTGATCAGTAAGGCTCATGGCGGCACAGCTCGGCCGGGTCTGCGGCCGGATTTCCAGGTGGGGAGCTCTTTCGCAGAGACGTCTCAGAGCCACCAGGAAGCAGACGTGCGGGGGCAGCTGCCCATCGACCCTGCGCTTCCCGCCCGGCGGAGGACGCTGCAGGCCTCCACGTTCCTTTCTATGCAGCCCCACAGCCCGGGACAGCCAGTCCGCACCTCTCCTGGCAGGTTTAGTAGGGGAGGCAGCCTGCTTCCCAGGCAGCGGGGTCGTGTCTGGGTTGTCCCTGGCATGGTGGCCATGGCCGTGGCCCGGCCCCGCGGCGGCAGTGGTGTCTGCTGTGCTGGGTGGCTGTGGGGGCTGCCTCTCAGCCCGTGCTGCCGCAGCTCGGGCCAGGCAGGCCTGGCTGCGCTGTGTTCAGAAACGATTACCAGTCAGGTGGGCTGGAGCTGGGCAGACAGAATTGGGATTCCCTCGAGAGCCTGGGCCGGGGGGAGCAGGGCCAGCGCCCCCCTCTGATCAGGAGGCTCCAGCAGAGGCGGTGCGGCCCGCCCTCACACAGGCTACTGACGGCCGAGCTCAGCCCGGCAGCTCTCCTTCTGGTAGAACAGCAGGCAGTCCAGCTGAGTGCAGAGTGACAGCTGGGCGTCTGCCACTGCAGCCGCTGCTGCATCCGAGATACTGAACCCGGAAATCATGCTCTTCCCACCCCCCACCCCACCAGAGTGGCACCCGCTGCGGAATCTCCAGCCTTAATTCTCGCTTCAGGACCAGACCGGTGTCGTGCTCTAGGGCGGCCCAGGGCGGGGGCCGGGTCTGCCCAGCGTTCACCACTGTCGCCAAGCCACGGCCCTCGGCCACTCCCTGGCCACCCTCAGTGAGGCGCCCAGCCTAGGCCCCCCGCCAAGCTCCGACCCGAGCCCTTCCCAGCCGCCTCAGGCCCCACCCAGGCTGCTGCTTGGAGGCAGCAGGGGCCGAAGGAGTGCGGGGAGCCGGCCGGCCGCACCGGGCAGAGGCCTGCGGTCACCGCCCGCTGGAGGAGCTGGGGTCGGGAGGGAGGGAGGGGCTTGTTCCCTGCAGTGTCTGTTCTGTGAAGTTTGTTCCATGTAAGGAAAGCTTAAATTCTTGTATCTTTAAAAGAGAAAATCTTATTTAACCCTTTTGTGTTCTAGATTTACTTACACACATAGCCTAGAGCTCAGTTTTAGTTTTAACATTGTGAGAATATTAAAAGAATCTTGTAACTTTATTCTTTTTTCTCCTGCTGAAAAAAAAATTAAACCAATCATATGAAAGTTTGGCCTTTTCCGTTTGTCCGGTGCTCCTGCTGGCCCTCTGCACAGCTGGGCAAACAGTGAAATGTGTTCCTGCAGGGCCGAAGAGGTGGGGTCCTGCCATGGCTCTCCCGGCAGCACCCAGGCTGCAGTGCGGCTGCGGGGCTCGGCAGGGGTGAAGCGGGGGTGGTGCTTCCCAGGGCCAAGATGCTGACCCCACGGTGCCTGGGGGGGGGGGCACGGGGCAGAGGCAGTCAGGAGGCTGGGCAGCACCTCGTGGCGTCAGAGCAGCCTTTCCGAAGCCCACAGGAAGCCACAGGTGGGAGGGGGGACGTGGCGTCCAGGGAGTGACCACGGACAGCCGGGGAACGGTGGGGACCCCACAGGCACAGTCGTGGCAGAAGGGCCCAGGGGTCTCACAAAGTGCCCTCCTCTGCAGGAGCAAACAGATCAAGGACCGAGGGAGGGCCTGGTGGGGACCACGGCCCAGCGCCGTCCAGGCAGCGCCAGGCCTACCAAGGGGTAGTGTTGGCACCTGCCCTCGGCCTCGGTCAGCGCTCGGGAAGGCTGTTGGTTTCCTCTCCAAGACTTGGCCAAAGCGCCCCCGCCCCAGCCCCGCACTGGCCGGGGTCCCAGTGTGGCAGGAGGGAGCCCCTGGTGGAGCCCGCCCGGCCCCCTCCCAGCACTCAGTCCTGCGGCCTTGCTCCTGGCGCGTATTGCATCTCAGGCTCCCGCCAAGGACCACTGGGAAAGACCCTTCCGGGTTTGGGCACGGCTGCCATCAGCCAAGGGACAGAGGATCGCAGGGATCTGCCAGCCCCTTGCCAACGCGGTCGTGACCGGGAAGGGGCTCCCAGACTCGGAACGCGTCCACGCCTGGCGCAGTTGCCAGCAGGCACTCGAGGAAGCAGGGCGGCCCTTGCTGGGCCTCTGACTTGCGCTGTGCGGGGTGACGCAGCCGCCGCCTGCGTCCTCAGCGCATCTCCGGCCAAGCGTTGCTTCTTGCGCTCTGGACTCCCAGGAAGCCTCTTGGCCTCGAGGCCTGCCACGTGTGGCGCAGGGTGCTGGTCTGCGAAGTTCTTGCATTCAGCAGAGGCGTGAGCTTGAGAGAGGAGAACTCGACCGTCAGCGTGTGCGCCACGCGGAGGCTGGCCCTCGCCGGGGAGCCCCGCGCCGTCGCAGCCTGTTGGTGTGACTGCACCGCGCTCTGCAGTCTTCGGGATGAGCGAGGCCGACGTGGCCCAGAGTCAGAGCTCAAGCCACCTGTCACAGCAGTTCTTAAAATACAACCGTCCCCTCCCTGTCGTCCCTGACAACTCCCATCAAAATGTGGAGCCCCTCCCCTGGAATGGGGGCCGGCCTTGGTGACTGCTTCTGACGGACACTGCGTGGCAGATGGGCGCTTGCTGGCTCCCAGGCTAGAACTGAGGCTTCACCGGCCCGGTGCTGACAGGTGCGGAGGCCGGCTGTTCACGGGCACCGCCATCACCCAGTGGACGGTGACGGGGTGGGCGGGCAGAGTGCCACCTTGTGTGTTGCTGGTGGGAAGGGGAAGTGGTGCCGCCACGGTGGCAAACTGCTGGTTTTCCACAAAGTTCAACAGACGCAGCAGCTGGGCTCCTAGGAGCACACCAGTGGGACTGAACGGCAGGGCCTGTGCACACGTGGGCACACCGGCAGCGCTCTTCCCAACCAGCAGGTAGAAACCACCATCCGCCGGGATGCAGGGATGACAACGGGACAGTCATGTAAGTCAGCCACCAAAGTCCAGTCACGTGCAACGTGCTAAGCGAGAGAAGCCAGACAGCTCACGTGTATGATTCTGTTGACATGTGACAGCCAAAAGAGGGAACGTCACAGGGACAGGACGCAGACCAGTGGCCACCAGGGACTGGGCGCCAGAGAAAGTGCGTTCATTTTGGGGTGATGAAGATGTTCTGGAACAAGATGTGGACACATACAACACGAGGCGTGTCACATGCCACCAAGTAGTCATTTCAAGTGGCAAATTGTAGGTCTCTCCTCAATTGAGAAACACATTGCTAGTCCAAGACCACCACTGGAGAGCACAGAGACCAGACAGGCAGGGGCCCAGGGCAGGCATGTGACAAGTGAGTCCAGAAGTGACACAGGCCCAGCAGCGCCGAGCGGAGTGGTGACAAGCTTCCTGCCAGGCCCGACCACGCTGCAGGTGCCTGAGCAGAATAACGGATTTAATGCCACTCAGGCCTGGAATGGTGGTTGGGTGGTGACAGGACCAGGGCAGGGCCGGCCCGGAAGGCCTGAGGTGGACAGGGACAAAGTGCAGAAGTCCCGTGGACCCCGGCTGCAGCAGTGCAAGGCAGGCGGAGGCGAGGGTTCCGGTGCCTTCAGGGGGGCGCAAAGGAAGACCTGCCCCTCCCAGTCCTCGCGGCTCCTGCTAGGGCTCGTCATGGCCAGCTCGGCCTCTCCCGGGACGGAGACCTGAAGTGCTCCTCCCCCAGCTGAGGGTTGAGGGTTCCACCAATGCAGACATGGAGCCTTCGCTGCGCCTGCGCGGCGTTCACAGCGATGCCCACACCCAGGCCCAAGCAGGGCCGGGTCAGCATCTCGGGTGGGCTCGGTCGGACACAGGTGGTTTTCCCACAGCTCCCAGGCAGTCTCAGCATGCAGCAGGGTGGAGGCACAGTGAACTCAGGGCATACCCAGAGTGGCTGGTGGCAGAGTCCTGAGTGTCACACAGTCCCCATCCAAACACAGTGAGTCTACAGAACCAGAAACACTATCCTGAAATTCGCAAGGAACCACAAAAGACCCCAAGTCAATTGAACAAAAGTGGAGGCATCACGCTACCTGACCCCAAAATACACCAGGACACTGGCTCCAGCCACAGCGTGGCGATGGCATGAGACGGGCATACAGCATGGGACAGAGCGGAGGTGCAGACACAAACCCAGCACCTCTGCTGTGGATCTGCAACAGAGGGGCCAAGCGCACACACTGGGGAGAGGTGTGGGAAAGTGGAGAGGAGCAGCTGGGACCTGTGACTTTACCCATTCTACCACGGTGCTGGCCCCTCAAATAATGTTTTAAAAACTCAATCCAGGACGGCGCCGCGGCTCACTAGGCTAATTCTCCGCCTTGTGGCGCCGGCACACCGGGTTCTTGTCCCAGTTGGGGCGCCGGATTCTGTCCCGGTTGCCCCTCTTCCAGGCCAGCTCTCTGCTGTGGCCCGGGAGTGCAGTGGAGGATGGCCCAAGTGCTTGGGCACCTGCACCCGCATGGGAGACCAGGAGAAGCACCTGGCTCCTGGCTTCGGATCAGCGTGGTACGCCGGCCGCAGCGCACCAGCGGCAGCGGCCACTGGAGGATGAGCCAACCGCAAAAGGAAGACCTTTCTCTCTCTCTCACTGTCCACTCTGCCTGTCCAAAAAAAAAAAAAAAAAAAAAAAAATCCAACTTTAAAAATAGGCAATAGACATTTCTCAAAAGTTATACAAATGGTCAACAGGTTTATGAGAAAAATCCCCTGCATCACCAGCCATCAGGAAAATGCAAACGCAATCACACGACACCGCCTCACCCTGGCTGAATGGCCATTATCGAAAAGGAAAATAAGTGTTGGCGAAGATGTAGGCAAAAAGGAATCCTTTTGCATGTTGTCGGTGGAAATTAAATTAGTGGAACCATTACAGAGAACAGTACGGAGACTCCTAGTAGAACTGCCATGTGACCCAGTGGTCTGGGGTATAATCAGTCTGCAAGAGCCGTCTCCACTCCTGGTTTATTACAGCACTGGCTACCACAATCAAGACCCATCAGCTGATGGATAAAGGAAATCCAGTACATGTAGGCCCCGGGGCTGTGTCCCCACTTGCTGGCTGCACGGGGTGGAGTCAGTGGGACCACTCGCGGCACCAAGGATGCCTCGCCACCCTAGGAGTGAGTGTGCGTGGGCCAGTCTGCCCCAGGTGGCCCTCGGTGCTCTCCGTCACATCACACCTGACACACAGCTGCTGCTGGGCCCCGGCAACACCTTGCGTTTCCCACGGCACTTGCAGAATCAAGCAACGCGAAACGCAGCAGTTGCACCCTGAGCCAGGCCGCATGCAGCAGGCCCCCTGCCCTGTGCTGGTTCCCCCAGGGGAGAAGCAACTCCCACGGACCTGGTTCCCGACAAAACAGATTCGCTCTGCTGATGCCAGATGCGACCTTCCGGCCTGGGGCGATGGGAGCAAGTTGCTGAACTTGCTGCACAGGTGGCGAACTTGGCCACCTTGGAGTCCGTGTCACTTCCCTTCAAATACCTGTTGGCCAGCCAGTGCTTCTGAGGTGCTGAAAGTCACTGCCCCCACAGCCTCCCTGCAGTGGGCCTCCCCCACAACGGGGCCCCTACCTGCCCACCTCCCCACCCCAACCCCATCCTGCTCCTGCCCTCCCGGTGCGGGCCTGGTGCAGAGGGGTCAGGTCAGGCCTGGCCCCCCCTGGGGTCGGAACCTCCGCTGGCTCCTGGCTCGCTCAGGAGCTCCATGTGCCCACCCCTTCCTCAGACCCACCCCGACCCCCACCCCCTACCCGCTGCTGCCTAGCACCAGCCAGGAGCATTTCAGGCCCAGCCCCTCTGCTCTCCTGCACAGGTGCCGCCAGGTGGCCCTGGGTCCCAGGTCCCAGTGCCCGGGGCTTTGCTCAGCTGTCCCTTTGGAAGTGTCCTTGGACTCCCAGTGCCCACACCCACCTGTGTCCTCACAACCACTCTGTTGTCCATCACCGCACGTGGGCACAACCTGTGTCTTTTGTCTTTCTGGTCCTTGCTGCATTGCCGGCACTTTGGAAATGGCTGGCCCAGGCCGGCAGCTGCTGGGCGAGTGGGAGGGGCCGGGCGGTGCGGTAGAGCCCAGCACACCCTGGATGTGGTTTGTCTTGTGCAACACTTTGTTGAAAACACACTGTCCGTTCTAGAAGACCCAAAGCTAGGAGGGTTTGTTCACGTGGCGATGCCTGACCCAGGGCCCGGCCGCAGCACAGGAGAGTGAACTTCGAGG